TAGCGGGGTTCTTGATGTCGTACTTCTTCATGAGGAGGCCGAGTTCTTCGCCGTTGTAGTTGTCAATCTTGGCCAGCACCTCCTCGATCTCCTTGACCATGGAGTCCTCAAGCTTGACGGCCGAGATGTTCTTGACCTTCTTCTTTTTCTTCTTGGGGTCCTCCTCCTCGGCCTCGACCTTCTGGCCGCGTGCCTCCTTGTCGCCCTTCAGCCTGGCCTCGAGAACCTCTTCGACCAAGTGATCGGCTCGGAAGATCTCGCCCGTCTTGGGGTCTTTGCACATCCAGTCGGCGAACTTGTCCACGTGCCCGGAGGTCTTGAGGACCTCGTGTGTGGTGAGGATGGTGGGCTCGACCTTGAGCATGTCCTCCTCGAGGACGAAGTGCTCGCGCCATATGTCGACGATGTTGTCGGTGAGGGCAGAACCGGGCGGGCCGTAGTCGTAGAGGCCGGCGACACCACCGTAGATGTCGAACGAGGGCGCATAGAAGTATTTGTGCTACAATGGCTGCTGTTAGCACAATTGGACAGTGTTGGGGCCGTCGCACTCACCTTCATAAGCTGCTCGAAGGCAGCGCGCTCGAAGGGCTTGCCCTTGTGGGTCGTGGTATCGCTCGGCATGGCGACGTTCTTCCGCTGGGGCAGGGTGACCTTGTATCGCAAGAGGGGTGGTGTGGACGAGAAGTGCTTGGTGGGATGAGTCGGCGGAGGTGGGGCACGATATTGGATGGGCCTACGTAGAGGCAGACGCGCAGCAAGTTGGGGGACGCGCACTGGAATTAGGCGGCGCATATACTACGGCTCCTCTCTTGCATGCGACAAGAGAACACTAATGAGCGACGCGGTCTAATGTACAAACGGGCTGCAAACTTCGGGCACGAAATCCAAGAAAAGCGATGCTTCGAATCTCGACACGCCTGAGGCTCTGCGCATGTGTGGCGCGCCAAGATTGCGGAAAAGCACAGGCCGCGGCTCCACCGAAAAGTTGAGCAGCGCCGTCTTGCGAACTCCACGGCCAGTGCGACACACACCAGACCACACACTCCAATACGGACCAGTAACGTGACCCCGCTCCAACATGGCCTTCTCCAAGAGCCCCAATGTCGCCTCTGGGATCAAGCCCAAGAACAAACTGCGCAGACAGGCGGCGCATCTCTCTATCAAGAAGGCGCGCGAATCAGAAAAACGAGACGCAAGACTCCGTCGCAAGCGCGAGGAAGAGAAGAACCCTGCGCTACGAGAAGAGCGCTTAGCACAAAACAAACCTGCGACCATCGACGGCAAGCGAGTATGGGACGAGCCAGTCGGCGACGAAGAAGATGCGCTGGGTTGGGCCATTGATGTGGAGAGACTGGCAAAGAGGAGAAAGGTGGAGCAAGAGGAAGCGGCACAACAGGACGGTGACGACGGCGAGGACGAGGGCATACTAGCGAAACTGAAGAAGCGCGACCAAAAAGCAGGCGGAGCCAACTCGGACGACAGCCAGGACGACGAAGCAGACAGCATGCTCGACGACTCCGAATCCGAACCCTCTCTCGACTCCAACGATTCCGACCTAGACTCCGACGCCGCCTCTTCCAAACCGGGGAAACGCGCCTCCAGTCCCAGCGCCACATCCACAGCAACAAACCTCGAACTCTCGCCCGAGTTCCTCAAGCAAAAGTTCCCCTCGATATTCAACCCGCGCACCGACGACCCCCAGATCCTAATCACAACCAGCATCAACTCGACGCTCCACAAAGAAGCCGAAATCCTCACCTCCCTCTTCCCCAACAGCACCTACATAAGACGGACCCAGCACGTCCACGCGCACAAGTACAGCGTCAAGGAAATCGCCGGTTTCGCCAGCGCACGCGGCTACACAGCCCTCGTCATCCTCATGCAAGCCGAGCACGAGAAGAAGCCCGACGGCCTCGACATTGTCACCCTGCCCGACGGACCTCATTTCCACTTCTCCCTTACAAACTGGGTCGAGGGAAAGAAGCTACCCCGCCACGCAAACGACACAGGACACTATCCCGAGCTCATCCTGAACCAGTTCAAAACTCCCCTCGGTATCCTCACAGCCCACCTCTTCCAGAATATGTTCCCTGCGAAACCAGAGTTGGAAGGGCGCCAGGTCCTCACGCTGCACAATCAGCGCGATTACATCTTCGTGAGGAGACATCGCTATGTGTTTAGGGATAAGCGCGAGACCGAGAAGCCTATTGTGGGGTCGGATGGCAAGCCGCTTCCGGGTGTGGAGGATGTTAAAGTGGGTATGCAGGAGATTGGGTAAGTTTCGCTATATCTTTGGACTATGCTCAGGACCAGACTGCTAACGTGAATGAACAGACCGAGGATGACACTCAAGCTCCGCAGGATAGATCGCGGTATCCAATTCAAGAGTGGCCAGGAGTGGCAGTGGAAGGGCCGCATGGAGAAGCAGAGGACGAGGTTCAATATGTAGATGTCCCACACTGGAGAACTCGTCTGCAACAATTTTCTCGCTTTGTTGCAAGCAAATACTATACTCTTTTGCACGATTCGTTGTGAAGTCTATGCCAGCCCCGTGCTGGGAATCGAACAGGACACTCTATATATGTCACGCGCATGTCTGTACAAGTGGTGGATGAATGCAAGAATAACATTGACCATACGATCTAGTACGGTCCGCACTCGCTGCACACTAACCCGGGTATCGTACAATACTATCCTACGCCACCACGTCCGATTCCCTTTTTAGACCACCCCAAGACGAGGATAACTACTCTCAAACATGTGATCCGCCCTCATCGTTCAAGCACTATGTGGCACGCCCATGTTGCCGCCACCCCGATAGCCAGTCCAAGAATGACCTCCGCGACCGCGATGATTAGAGGGACCAGATGAGTGACTGTTGTGCGATCGGCCACGACGATGCCGTCTCAAAACAGGGTTTTCGGGATAGTAATATCCCTCATGCCAATGGCCACTGGGTAAGCGATTGTGTGGCTGACGAACAAGGCTCAGCCTTAGAAAGGCATTTTCGGGATACTATCTTCCTTTGTCAAAATGGCCACCGGCACCATGCGAATTGTTGCCTGGCAAAAACTCGCTGTATGACAAGTCACCACGGCCTGGGCTCAGAAGGGGAGTTTTAGAAGACTCTCCTTCATTCCGCAGAAGGCCACTATCCTACTTGTTGCCGTAGCCGCCGTATCCGCCCGGGGTCATCATGCCTGTGGGTCCAGGAGTATTCGACGCCAGACCAGCTGGGTGGTTTGTGGGTGTGCTTGGGCCGTCGACACCGTGCCTTGCGTTTCCGGGATAGAAGGTGTTGTTGACACCTTGCTGGAAGCCTGTTAAGCCTTGCGAAGCCCCCTGTGCGGCAATGACAGCTTGTTGCGCTGTTGCGCTGGCTGGTGGTCCGACACCAGTGAGACCCCACATGTGGCCGCTCATCTCGTCGGGAATGGTTCCGTCGAAGATCTTCTTTTTCATGTCCCAGAAAACGACTCCTGTCAGCCATGCGTCGGATCCTGCTGTATGTGAGTTGCCCACACGCTGGCAACCGAGCTCATCGGCGAGATCTTGAAGGCCGGACTTTGTGCCTAGATTGTTGAGTATATTGGTTGCAGTCGATCCGATAACACCGCGCCGAACAAGGTTGTTCGCATGTCGCCAAAGGTACTTGACATCGAGTAACTTGGGGAAGAAGACATTGACGAGCTTGCGGTATGTATCCTCATCCTCGGGTAGCGATTGTGAGGTGAGCATCTTGAGCATGTATGCGAAGTCGTAACCACTATGAAACGATATCCAGTTGACATCTTCCGACAGAGTCATGCCCGATGTGGTGAGTAATGAACCGAACTCGACAGGGTCGATGCCTAGCTCCTTGTGCTTTTCGAAATCTGCGCCAGACTTCTTAAGCATCTGTATTGACTCCTCGTTGTACATGTCATCTTCGAGGGAGAACTGGAAGTTGAAGGACCATGTGCATGGGCAGACGACGATGTTGTTTGCATGTCGCTGCAACGATTTTGGCTTGTAGTTCAGGTCTGTAATGTCGAGATGCGATGGCGGGATGTCGCCTTGTACGTTGAAGAGGGTGACGCCGAGTTGGATGATTTTGAGCAAGTCGACGTTGCAGCGCACGGTCTGGTAGTGATATGAGGCTTTCGAGTTGAAGTCTCCGATAGGCCGCGCGACAACACCGGGGAACTCGGTGTCCTATTCAGAGAGTGAGCATGAAGTCATGAAGGAGAGGGAGAGGTAGAATGGAAACTACCCCATCAAAAGAAGACGTTGCGCCACCGTTGACGGCTGACTTTACACGCATCAGACAAAGCTCCCAAGCAAGAGCTGTCCGACCGGCTGGTAGGAAAATGGCATACTGACCATGCTGATGTAGGGGTACTGGTCGATGAGCGAGCGCAGCATGTCCATCTCCTGGTGCAGATTCGACCGCCAGACTTCCCGTATCCGCTGTCCTGCAATGCCTTTAGCGCCGTCCTGACCACGAGCAGCATTCTCTTGTATTTGCGCGCCGTGGGCAAATCTCATACGCGCTTCATGCCCGTCGAGTCCTGTGCCTCCGCCTGCCCCGCCAATTGCTGCTGCTGCCCCGAGCCCGGCTCCGCCCAGTCCACCACCCAGCGGTGCATTTGATTGGAAGCCGCCCTGGTGTTGGCCGAAGAGGTTCAGATTGTGTGCCTGGTTGCCGCCGCCGAAGCCTCCATGTTGCATGTTCTGCTGCTGGTGTTGCTGGTGCAGCGGTTGTTGCTGCTGCTGTGGTATTGGGCCCGAGAGATGCGCGAAGGGATTCGAGAGGTTGTGACCGGGGAAGCGGCCCCCGTGAGGCGGCATTGTGGAGCTGCTGTAGTGGTTGCGACGATTCGCGTGTGCGTGGGTGAGGTGGATCCCGTGGATGTTCGTGCAGGTGGCAGAATGATGGATCTTCTGGGATGCCTAGATGAAGCTCGCGAGAGTCGTGGGTATCCTCAGGCTGTACGAACGCGTCTGGGGTGGTGATAGCGATGGGGTGCGGGCGATGTGTGAATGGTGTGGGGAGAGCAACCGCAGTTGACGACGTGCGGAGGCCGTGCGTATGATCGCTCGCCGCCAAGACATGTCGAGATGCGACTGACGATGGTCCAGGAACCACCGACGCCAGCTTCCACAACCGCCTTGCCTCACACCAGCTGCTCACGAGGCTCATAGAGTACGTAATCAAGCAACACGCGCTCAATTGATATGTTCTTCTCTGCGCGCAACAATTGCTGACTATGCCAGCTCCATCACCATGGCACCACGCCCCTCCATCACCGGCTTCGACCCCAAGAAGTTCGCCGCTGCCTCTGCGAACGGTACCAAGGGCGACCCATGGGCACGATAGTACGCTTTATACCACGGACATGCCTCATCCCACACATACTTACCTTCCCAGTGAGCAATGGCGATACACCGGACCCTTCACCCGCTTCAACCGCTTCAAGGGCTCCTTCCCCGGCCTCGGCATAGCCACCGTTGCATTCGCTGGATACCTCGTTGCCGAGCAACTGTTCTTCGAGGATAAGGGCCACCACGAGGAGGGACACTAAGAGGTGGTGTTGAAAGGAAGCGCATACAGACAAGGGCGTACCGGTTGCTTCAGGCTTCGTTACTGCGGGATTGTATATATGGAATACCACACAGAACGAGCAAACAAAAACTTTCATCATCTACGGTTACCCTGTTGAGCTGCTGGATCGCTGATGGACGGCGACAGATGCCAGTGAGGTTTGGGCTCCACAACATGTTCAGCTGCCTGAAAATCTTCGCAGGAGATATCACAACAAGGCATGGATAAAGATATGAACCAAACTGATCTCATCAGCTCGTCTATGTTCCGCAGTTGTGGTGAAGCCCACGGAAGCGTACTCCCACTCGGCCAATTTACAGGACTAGGACAATGCGCTAACAATCGCAGGATGGACGCTGAGTTATCAAACGAACATCTTCTCCAAGGCTATCGATCGCGCGATTCGTAACTGCAAGTACGCGAGAGCTTGCCGAATTCTGGAAATGTCGGAGAAGCAAAACGCTGCAGATATCCTGGACCTTACGCGAAGGATCATATACACGAAAACCGCCATATTTTCCAATCTAGTGGTCTCGGTAGTAACCGCGTTATTTTGATGTCACTCCTCAATCGGCGATCGATGTGTACGACTAGTCCTCTCCCCTTTTCTATCGCAGCAGGGGAGTTGTCTTCGAAACGGAGCTCACGACTTGCTCTTATCAAAGAATGTGGTATATAGTGCGCATTGATACACTCATGACATATCACCTATAGCCCGAAGTTTCCCCAACGAGCACGTCAGCCTTACTTTCCACCCTGCGCTCACATTCGGTCTTAGTATCCGAAGATCACAACTCTGGGTTCGAAGGGCCATCAGTGCGAAGAAACCACGGCCTCACTCGCTTGCCCACAGCAAGGCGATCACAAGCGCCAGCAGCAAGCGAGCCATCGTCTCCCCGGCCTGTTCGTCCCAACAAGAAGACGGTCGTCAGCTCGTCCTCCACTTCCCGGCAGCCCCTCAGGTTCCCTGCGTTGGTAAGCCACAACGACATACGAGGTACGCACACCGAAGACGTAAGTATACCCAACTGGAACCTGCCGCATCCCCGCCAGTGTCTCAGACGGCCAGACTCACCACTCGGCGCCTCGTCATACATCTAGAACTTGCATCTCAAAACCATATCGAACTCGTAAGCCCTCAGCGCTCTGATCTCAAACTCACCACACACTCGGGACACGGGAGATATGTTCACGACAGGGGAGGGGTAGGGCAGGTAGGGGGAGGCGAGGGTTCGTGTCAACGTCGAGAAAACGGAGCGAAAGCGATCATCCAGTCGGTGTAATACTACGGCTTCTCTTCGGTGCACGCGGACTCGCGCAACGGCGCGCACGTTTTTGTACATGCGTGCTGTCACTTCTGTCACTTTTTCGGCCTTGGGGAACGGCTTCATCTAGCCGTGCGTTCGATTGGGGTAATGTTTAGGTCGTGGATCTGTTGCTTGATTGGGAGGGTCAGCCCGTTTGCGGAAGTATGGTTGCGACGTGGTGCTTGGGATGTGCCGTGATCGGCGCGGCAGGCATACACGGAGTTGTAACATGGCATGATGGGCGCTCTTCAGAGCGTGTGCGGAGGTTAGGGGTGGTGTGGTCTTCGGCCGAATTGTAGGGTATGGCTGTTCACTTCTTGGCTTGACCACCACTCACGCCGACTCACGGTTTCAGCGCTACAAGCTTACCGCTTGGCCCTGGTTCGTGCAACAAGTTGATGAACAAGCAGACTGCGTTCTCGACGCGAGGTGTACTTCGTTGTGTCGTCTAGACTATCTGTCTCAGTAATACAGTGGCGGCAAAACAAAGTTGATGAAAAACCTCCTAGTATGGGCGGAGCGCAGGGTAGAATCGGTGTTCTGGAACCGTCTTCTATGATGCTTCTTCTACCAAATCCACAGTTCTATCATTCTCTCATGTAAAGATACATGCGTTGGCATGCAAGTCACCTGATTTCGATATGTAAAGCAAAACCATCCGGGCCATTTTGCTTATTCTTTCCGCCGACACAGACTGGCCTGGACACGGTGTGCCAGCATTTCGATCGTACCTGCAGCTTGAAATTACCATCGTGCATGTTGCGATGCTTGCCTTGTTCGCAAACGAGATTAGGCTCGTATGGTGGCTTGTTGTATATGTTTGCTTTTCTCTACTGCATTGACCAACGGCAGTTGTAGGCATTACAACAACATTAGTAAACTAGTCTCGATCCTTACGAACTAGATGGAGCGCTGATCCGTCATAGGAACTATTCGAAGATGCACACGTTATGGTTTTCGTATTCAATTCTGTTGGACGACGAAGTCAAGTGTGATCGGATTTTGACTCCAGCATCCCGATGTATGGCCTATTCAACGGAATGAACTGAACAAGCAAAAGGCGGTCGGCACTTCAGCCCAGTTCGACTACAGTATTATGTTGTTCGGTGTGCGCGACACGCATGGCGTCTATACCCACATGGTATCCAGGGTTATGAAAGATGACCCTTTTGGCCCCTCCCTCACCTGCCCCTTCGAGGGACCAGCCGAAGAGGAATGTGCATCACGGGACCGCTGTGCGTCTAACGCTTTGACCAGTGATGAAATTTGCAGTTCACGCCACGGGGCGGCTCATAGTGGTGTTGGTGGCCCTTCGATCGCCAGCCGAAGGATTCTAATCCATGTTTCACGGCCCGTGAGCCACCAGCGCAACCCTAAGAGATGAGCCTGGCACAGAGAAGATGTCATTGCTCTCTCTCTATCGGTACTATGTTGAAGAGCGAGACAGAATAATAGCAATTGGAAGATAGCCAATGAGGCGCCAATGGTACACACTCGGTGTTGGCTGGCGCATTCTCTGTCGGTTCTCACCACCACATGACCCATTAGTGCTGCAAAGCACACGTGCGATCAAATCCGGCGTATGAACACAAGAGTGTTCGTTTTCAAGGTGGCCCCGCTCTTGTCCAGCTGTTCACGTCCCCAATGGCATACTATGGCTCTCAGAGACTGTTTGCATCCGAACTTGCTCAAAAGCCCAAAATCTAGGCGTCAATGAGAGGGTAAAAAAGGTTCCTGGTCTCCTGAACCCAGGCTGGAGCTTTGTTGAACAGTGGTGGAGTTCCCGTCCATGCATATTACCCCTCTTTTTTTGCAAGTCGCCCATGGAGAAACAAAATGAAGAGCTGCATGAGTACTCGAAATGATCCGCCCATAAGTTGTTGACTTCAGAGTACGTGTATGACGAGACGATATGTAAGACGTGCCGTGGCAGCACTGCGAATCCATGTATCAAAGAAAATTCTGATGTTGCGTAAGGTTCAGGACTGCGGGCCGGAACTTAGAGAGGCCGTTGGGAGCATTCTTGCATGGTGAGCTTGACGCCTCCATTCAAGATTCGAAGCTGACGGCCGTCTGGACCTCAGAGTCGTTCCACGCTCACACCATAGAGAGGCTAAAGTGAGGATTATCGATAGACTGATGTACCTAAGCAGTGGTCGCTTACCAGATGTGGGAGTTGCTCTTCAACCGACAACCAGGTACCTAGGTAGTTCTACCTGCAAGGACTTTCTTAGAGTTAAGCGAATCTTACGTCCCGACCGGAGCTTGACCGCGTTTTGGAGTACTCGCCGGTTGACCTATCAGGCTGATGGGACAGGTGCTCGTACTTTTGCATCCGCTGCTATCTCCACAAAATGTGAGATAAAGTTCGATAGATCCGCCAGTGTCCCGTTGCATGAAAAGGCGAGAGCGTCTCTTGTTGAGACGGGTACGACTGTGGCTGCGTTTGCCCGCCTCGAACCACCGGGATGGAGGGATAGTATATCCGCCAGTTGCCAAGGTGGGCAAGCGAAGACGCCACATTCACTCCATTGGTGGGATGGTTCTCAGTTCGGAGTTGTCCACTACAGACCACATCAGCAGTTGTAAAGAAAACATTGGTACGGATGGTCTAAAACATTGAACATGAAACAAGAGTTGCTGAATCATCTTTCAAAATCTTTCAAGACCCGGCTCCAAATGTTACAGGCAAATATGAAACGCGATACCGTCAGGGAAAGCCTAAGGTTCCGGATCGATCTCCTACAGTTGTTGGAATTTCAGTACAGCGAGACCGTGGCTACCGCTGTCAATAGCCGTTGCATCCCGTACGCCTTAATGGTGAAACCAAAGTCTAAAGCCTAGCGAGGGCGGATCCGGAGGGCTTCCGAGTTGCTGTGTGCATCGGCTTTGTTGAACCCGCATTCGGCTTTGTAGCAGATGTTCTTCAGCTTGCAAATTGCCCTAGTTAAAGTTGAATTGGGGAAGACAACTAGGTGGGGCTCAGCTAAAGTCTGCCGGTGGGACGAAAAGGGTTAGACGGCAGGAATTGCGACCTGCAGGTACAGGAAACAGGGTTCTAGCATGGACAGACCTCCGGAAGATGCAAACCTGAACACGTCGCAGAAGAGGTACGAGTTGTACCGTCATTGATCTTTGGCAGTGCCAGCATGTTCCTGGAGAAGCTCGAATTCACTGCCCAATGCCTCGAAACGAATAGAAAGTGGAGCGAAGACGAACACCTATAATTGGACTCGATGAGGTAATTCCTGTGTGCAAACGGTCTCCATGAAAGCGGACTACGGCGCATGGATAGCCACCTGGGCGTGTGGATACACCGGTGAAGATTGTGTCCGGAGGTTCGGGCGCCGAGCCTAGCACATAGGAGCCCGCTAGAGGGGTTCTCGTGAGGAGTAGCGCAGTTGTTATGCAGCCAACGTCATCTACACAACGGGGAGGCGACTGATAGGAGCAGCTCGTTGGAGCGCAGAGGTGTGGTGCGTAAGACGTGGGCCGCCGGTGCGTGGGAGCAGCAGCAAGGTGGAGGTACCGAGTAGTTCTCGCCGATCTGTGGCCAGCCGCCAGCGACCACTGCAGGAACAAGGGGAACCACGCAGCGGCCAGGAACCACTGGGACTATCGAGACTAGAGACGTGTTCAGCTCCGGCGTCGGTGGGAGTTGGCGTGCACAGTCGTGTGCACAGCTGTGGTGATGGTGGAGGATGTTCCCGAGCACCTGCGGGCGTTCTTTCCAGTCCATGGGCCTACTCAGGTAGGCAGCCTTGGCACAACAGCACACGTGAGCACGCTTTCACCTCCAGCCTCGGGGAAATCACAGGCCGACGACCGGCTACCCTCATGCATCTGCACAAGAACCTCAACGACGGTAACACCATCATCGGACATTTTGACATCAGTCGGTGTGCTCACATTGCGTCCATGCAGCTGGTGTAGTAGCTGACGGCCCACCACCCCCACACGGCTCACGCCTCAAGTATTGGATCTCATTACAGGCGCATTTCCCAAGAAGAAGAAAGCGTAGAGATAGGCGCTCGTCACACATGTTTGTGGAAATCTTGGATGGAGCCGTGGTACAGCGGCTGATGCGAGGGCCTACAGCCCTTACTGCTGTTGTACGCGACTGCATCACAGCATGATACGAGCAGAAGGACCGTGTTACAACACCGCCGTACCCAGAACCGTCGCAAGCTCAAGGCTATGCTACGCTGGCGGTGCGACTGCGCCAAGGTGGCGCTCTGTGCATGCTGAGTCTCTTGGGGACAGCCAGGAAGGCACATCAGAGGGGTCTCACAACTCACGATAGCCAGCACCCGGTCATCGCTGTCGTGGGGCTCTGAAACATGTTTGGAACTTACCGGGCCCGAGACATCACCACATGGACTTTGACCTCGACGAGGGCTGTTCGCGATTTCAGATCGATCCGCCCACGAGCCCTGTGTAGATTGAGACGTCTGAGTGAGGCGGGGTATCGAGTCCTTGGACACATCGTCGGCCATGGTAGGGGCTCTCTTCGGTTGTTTCAGGTTCCGCCGTCTCACGAGCGAAGATCTGCAGATGGGACGATGCTCTAGCCTCTCGTCTTCTGCTCGGACGCTTATCGCGATCCCTTTCTGACAGTTTGATTGTTCCGCGCCAGTACACGACGACGACATGCGTCAATACTTAGAGTTGCGCTTCTTGTCGACAAGCTTAGCCACAGCTCCAGTCCAAAGTGGCAGACATGTTGATGCTTAGGCCTTATGCATACCCATGTGCCCCCAGCACCAGGCCTAACCCTGCACGCATTTGCGCCGTGCCCGCCTGAAATCGCGAACCGGCATATTCGGCACTAACAGCACAAATGCTGTACGTAGCTGCCAAAATCATACTCTCCCCGACTGAGGATACCCGCTCGTATTGTCAGCACAATTTTACGCGTGCTGTGCTACGAAAGCTTCGTTGTCCGCGAACACAGCAGCGAGAGCTTACCTTCCCAGCCACGACACGTCTTTCGACGCGTTGCCAAATCCTCTCGGATGCACAACAACATACGGCCGACATTCCAAGCAAATTGGACCTCACGGCCTCGTAGCATAGCGGGCCTGGACGTGGTCAGAGCAGATATGCAGCAGATTTAACCGTTTATTTCGCTGCAACGTCCAATCAGCGCCCGCTATATCTGCCCCTGCAACGTTATATTGCGCAGGCCGACCTGTCGGGCCGCGTTCACTTGCGCGCTCATCGTCAGTGGCTCACGAGCCTTGTGAAGTCGGGCATCCCCCGTCTCCTGCACCCCTGTTTCCGTCATCCCCCAGCCACTAACAGATGCTCAGGCGCCGTCGCTCAGCGGCAGATACCCATGTCTTTCTCTCCTGCTGGCGCGCAGCGAGCCCTGTCCTGGCTCGTCCTGGATGTCACTAACCTGGTGGAGCACACTGAGCACCTTCCATCTTCTCCACATACTCTCCGCTGCTCGTCCAAGCCGGCCATGTTCCTACATAGTGAGATCATCCCTACATTTGCTGTTACTTTGCCGGCCACAAAGCTTCTTGTTCCCGTGTCACGGCATGCAATACTGCGGCATATGCCAATGATCGCTCTCCAGCAACTACAATCCTTACTCGAATCTTTGCTCGGCTACCTGGACCGTCCACCACTCCCTCTCATTCGCAACCACCGCTTGTCTCACTTCGGTCTGTGCAGTTCGCCAACCTTTACTCGACCCTAACTCCCTGACCGCATCCTCGTGTTATTCCCACACGGAGGGCAGAACCCCTTCATCAGCCGTTGCCCTGCAGTGGTCCGTGTTCAGGCTCTTACGTTCTCTCCTCCCCTGCAAATAAGTTGTCTACTTGACCAGGTACGCATATATTACTTTGGTTGCTATTGCATCTCAACTATACCTCTACCCTCATTTGGCACGCCTGGATCCTAGCCTTGGCCCAAGTTCAATCATCTCGCCTCGTCCAACCTCGATCCCTCCAACTCAGGTCTTGTGTACCAATGGCAAGTCGTTCGCATACATCACTAACGCCTCCAGCAGGCGTATAACCCGGGCATCTGAACTCACAACATCCGAGCTCGCGTGCGCGCGACAGGTTTCCCCAGATCATCTCATCAACTTCAATGGTTGTTGCCATAACTACATCTGCCGGCCACTTGTGGGGACCTGCACACGCCATACTAGCATTGCTCGGTTCGCGTTGCTTGCGTTAGGCTTTATTTTCCTGGGGTTCGTTCAGGCTCCCAAGCCATGTTTTCGTTCCATAAAACCGATGCCTCCCGGTCTCGACAGTCATCCGTCGACTCTCAGGCCATTGGGCCTACCATTCCTACCGCAAGTTCAGACTTTTGGTCAGAGCAGTACTCCACACATTCAACTCATCCTGGCATGCATTCGCCCGAGCAACACAGAGCCCATCCGGCCAGACGAAGTTCCGTGTTCAATCTACGGTCTAGAAGCAATACTGCGACATCTATGACCCCTTCGCTGTTGTCCCTCAGCCATTCCGAGATGGCTGATCATGAAGCTTCTTGGCATGGCTCACCACCTGGACATCGACACACCAGCAACAAGAGTCATAAAGAGTCTACCGGGTCTAGGAGGTCGTTGTTCCGCGGGAAGAAGGGCAAGAGGCTGAGCGAGACGCCCATGATAAACGTCGATGAGTTCGAAGGGGACGTCAGCGAAAGACGATCATCAATCTTACGGAAGGGCAAAAGAAGCGAGGATGCTAGTAAGTGATTCTCTTCCCTGATCCAAGGCCCTCTGCTTATCGTGACAATAGGTACGAGTCTGATTAGCCGTATCTCGAGCCCATTCGACTTTCAGCACCTTTCTCACACCGACCGACATCAAATAGCTGCTCTCGAACAGCAGTTGCCCGTCACACCATCCGATGACGTCCATTTCAGGAACTTCTCTTCTGAAAACCTGGCAAATGGAGAAGAGAGATCCACGTCTGCTCTAGGCTTCACATCTCCCCCTCGCAGCCCAGAACCTCGTCACGATTCCGAAACTGTCCCCCACTTCCCAATATCGCGACGACCCCTTCGCCTAGCCCGATCTATAGAGAGCTTCTCCCAACCTAGCCCTCGGAAACATACGCACACATCGTCGATACAGTCGCCTCATCTTCCCTTGGGACCCGCCTTCGGTACACCTGAGTTCGCGTACGAAGAGCCTGCTTCTGCTCCGCGTAGGTTGTCGCGGTCGAAGCGAGAGTCGGGTATCTGGGACTCATTTGCTCTCTCTGCTGTGTCCACCCCGGACATACTACCTGAGATATCAGAAGATTCGTACTTTGGCCATGCAGTCACGACGCCTGATGATTCAGCCATTCACGCAACCACACCGCCATCCTTTAGTCCTAGTCTCGCAGATGTTGTCGAGGAACCAGAAAGATTTGTCAGCCCAAGACCTGCACCACAGCCCCCAATGAAGTCCCCGACTTCGCCGAGATCGCCTTACTTTGGATCGTTTTCCTTTCAAAACCCGCGATCTCCCGTTACCTCTAGATCACAGGGTAGAGGTCAGTCTCCTGCTTCACCAAGGGCAGAGCCTTCAGCTTCACGACCCTCATCGCAAATGTCTGACACGCTGGGCTCATTTGGCATGCCGAGGAGGATGTCTATTCGAAAACCTTATCAGCGTCGCCAGTCAAACACATGGCGCGCAATAGAGGAGTCATGGGAAGAAGATGTCGACTATATCTACGACAACGCTCTAGAAGCTGACTGTGACTTCGAATGGGATCGAGTATCTGATGACGGTGTTCGCTGTTGCGACACTCCTTCTGCTGAGCAAGCCAATCGTCGCAACTCCAGAATCACTTCCGCTGATCGAGAGCGTTTCGCTTCTGACAATTTTCGCTCATCTTTGCTGGTTCCCAGCACATCGAGTGTGCCAGAACTGGTTCCGACTTCTGCGATATCCACATCTACCCTCAGCACTGGCCTGCCACCGACACCCTCAGGATTCTTCCATGCCAACCGTTTCAGCGGCGACACTGGCTTCATGCTAAGCCCGTCCCTTCTTGTCCCGCAGGAATACAAGGATACACGAGAAGTCACATATGAGGACTTGCTTGACGAGTACGCCGCGTCCGATCGGCACTTTCCCATGCTCGACGCCGGTCGAAGCACGACGAGCTCGGCGCGTAGCAGTCACGTCCGACTAAGTAGGCGAAGCTCTTATGACAGCAGCCTCATGTCCTCTTCTCAGAGCTGCGGTCTTTGGAGCTCCCCTGTGAGGCGCTCGGCAAGCTCTGCCGGCAGTGTCCCAGAGCTGATTCCGTCCCGTCGTAGCCGCAAGTCGCTTGGCTTCAGTCTTGCAGCTGATCAGTTTTCAGAGCAGATTGCCTTCCTTAACGAAGACAAGGAGGACGATGACATTACGCCACCAGGGCGTACCCTGGAAGGGCGAACATTCTTCGCTTCAGACGACGAAGCGCCTCAAGATGAGGAGCAATCTCGCAGCTCCATTGAGACCGAGCTCAGAGCCTCGCTTGATTTGGCTCGACGTGGCTCACAGCGTGCCAATCACTCTACTGTCGAAGAGGAACTCAAGTCGTCGCTCGACCTTGCGCGCCAAGGGTCGCAGCGTTCCACCCGTGCACCAGCGCGCCAGCACAAACCCGCCCTGTCTGAAGGTGCCGCCAAGTTCCTTTCCGTCTCTGCTCCGAAGGAGGATCAACCAACCAAGCTACGTAACCGCGCAGCGACCACCGCGCAGTCTCGCTCCCCTATGTTGTCTCTCTTCCCAACACCCCCACGCAACATATAAAATACTTCGCAGATGTAAATCAAGCCACGACCATCAGCGACCTTACCCACGACGCACACAGTAATAACTCCATCCACCCCGCGTCCCTGAATCGAAGCCCAGGAGGCTCATGAAGCATGGCTGGCTATGCTTCATGTCACGCTATCAACGACACACAATTGCATTCGATGTACATATTGACGAGTCATGTTTTCTCCCATCTTACATATCTACTAGGCAGTCCCATCATTGACGGAAGACTAAAAGTCGGAAGGTCTCTTTTTAGTCTCGCGCATTTCGGGTCCCTTTGCGTCAGCTTTTCACCAGCTCGCTTGCATGCATTTTTCGGCGTACCTTTGTCTCTTTACATAGACCTATCTTGCCATATCTGCGCACAAATTATCTCCTATGTTACAGAGGAGGAGAAGCTTTCGCGAAGAGCGCGAGAAGTAATTACTAGCTGTTATTGGAATCATTACACTCGACAGTTGTCACAGTCGATCTTGCTCTCCTTTTGAAAGATGCTTGCGAGCGTTCAATACAAATCAATTCAAAATCTCCGTGTTTCTACATTTGTGATGTTCAACGCTTCTGCCTATCGCTCGCCCATACTCAGCTGCGCTGGACCACGTAGGTACATGGTGCGTCACCCTGACATACACAACTCCCTGTGATTTCGTCGCCACCGTTTCGACGATCCACAGATCCGACCCTTACGATCCGCGCCGCAGCTCTCCATCGGATTCGCAGGCCCGCCCTGCATGAGCTTGTCCGCCCGCGCCATTGGCGTAGTACATGCAGGTTGGACGGGAACTCAGGGGAAAGCAATACCGTCACTTGAGCGCGACGTGACGTCACGTCATCAACATGAACGCGCGCAAGCCTGAATGAGCAACACGAGGGTTTCGCATAGCCGCGGGAAGACGTGCAGTGTAGCCCGGATAGTTCAACACCTGTTCCCCTGATAGAGCATGGGTTTGAACTGGTCTAACGTGAGCTGCGCAACGGGACCCGTTCTCCAGCCTTTTGTCGCGTGCTTTCCATCTATGCCGTGTTACCCAGAAACTCATTTGGCTACGAAATGGTGCAGATTGACGCAACGCCGCAATTAATGTTGGCGGCTGCAGCGTATAGGCGCATGTGGCGAGACGCAGCGCGTCGTCCTGAAGGGGATGTAAACAAGTGGGTTTCCCGTCTCAATTGGTTACGGGGCCGATGCCACGAGACGGACTTTTCGCAATGAAGTCGCCCAAAGAGACCGGTGTCGTGGTACCGAATGACTAACGACAGACACATGCAGTGGAGATTTTTGTGTTGGTATCGGAGGTGACTTAGCTGTTGGTGGGTCACCGGCGTCTAGCCCTCTAAGGACCTTTGACGGTTTTGGAAGCCATCAGATCGATCAGATAGTCAGTCCACCGCGGACACACGACCGTTTGGGAAAGCATGTTAAAAATGGTTACGATGACCGCGGCGTCAAGGGCTTTTACCCTGCACTCTGTTCGCCTATGCACCCGCGTATCGCAGAAACTGGGGAGGCGAGCAGCAAAGCGCACATACTGATCTGACAAATACCATGTCCTTAATGTTGGGGCGGTAATAGTAAGGATACTGAAATAGGAAGCAGTCCGGGAACGATCCACTCTATCCACATGGCAGCTCCACAAAAGCCTCCATTCTGAAGGTGAGTACTGACGAACTTCTGCTCACCGGAGCATAGACTCGATCCGGTCCTCTACCTAGACTGCCGCTCTATGTGCAACCAACCGCGCCTAATACCAACAGATTGCAAATGCAGGAACCACATCTTCCTCCATCCGAACCCCGGAATGAAATGCGCGCAAGTCCATAGCGATACCGAACCGAAGACGATCGTCCGGGTAAAGGTCTTCAGAGACCCCGGCCACATGCAAGTCAACTACCAGGGCATACACACGGAGCGGGACGTTCGTTATAGGTCCTGCTATGGGCCAAGGCGTAGAGAGTGTGTGGCTCGGGTAATAGAGAGGTCGTTTGGAATTACCCGTGCCGCTGAACGTGCTCCAAGCGAAGTCGGTTGTGCCATTACATGGGACCTGTGTTTTATGTGCTCCGCAGGCATCAGTAAGCGTGCGCATGCATATGCACGTGTAAGCGACTTCAGGATGACATTGCGACGAATCGAGGGTAGAAGCGCGGAGATCGTCCACAATGAGATGGAATGACTAGCCTGAATATCGTTCGAGATGCTGTTTCATGTGCGGTGGAACGTTCGTGAGGCTTCCTGAGGCATTCATTCAGCCTATGCGAGGTGTATGGACTTCGCCGGTTACTCTTTTGATCGACAGCTGCTGCATCCTCAATGTCCATCTCTAGAAGAGTAAATACCTTGACTTGCATTGCATCTGATGAGTTGTCTTCACCCAGAGCAACCATGACGATCGCGCCAGTTCCAACAACTTCTGTATGTCTCTCTAAGTTCCAGCTGACTTTAGTGTCGATTTGGATATTGGTCCAGCTTGAAGCAGCTTCTGTGCGATGGTTATACAATCGGTTGTAATAATTAAGCCATGAGTGTTGGTTTCCAGCAGCTGAACTGATTCAACAATGAGTATCCAACATTGAGACCGCGCAGCTGTGCCGCAGTATGATGGTGGAGTCGCTGCGATTGATACTCAATGACCTGCCAACACAGCATGTCGCACCGGCCACATCTGTACGCCAACTCCTCATGACAGCCTTCCAGGATTATAACATCGATGGGGACTCCGTTTTAATGTCTGCTCGAATACTAGACCACATTACGAGCTTGCAGTCGTGTTTTCCTTGCGTTATTCAAGTCAGGCTCGTAGCTTCATCCTCGCTAGTAGATCCGTCTCTGCGCAACTCACTCTTATCATAATTCCTTCTCACCTAATAAGGTGAGGGTTTGAGACAATCCTGGAAAAAAATAGACGTGTTGCACTGCAAACCTTACGCAGACATCAGCGCTTGTCATCAACAATCGACCCAACTTTCGACAGATTGGGACCGATAGGTCTTATACAAAGGTAGCGGAACACGTAACAAGGTAGCCGGCGAGATGTGGTACAGCTTCTCAAAGACGTGTGTCGTGAGTGTCAGAAAGATCTAAGTGTCAACTAGTCGCGTGCTGCATCTGGGCGGTCTTATCTCCGATGTCGCATACGTCATCAGTGGCCAACACTTTCGCGACGCGACACTCTGCTTTCATACGCCACAATTGCCATGTGGACCGCGCCTACTACTTGATATATCTGGAACCCCAAATATCACTTCTGGCCACAGTTTGCGCCCTTCGTTAGACCTTGCACGCCCCCTCAAGTTCCTTGGTAGACTGCAATACAAGCCGCGCATCATGGCCTTCCGGATGGGCCGCTTTGTACCCGGGCCTGCCCGCTTTGTACCCAGGCCTTCACGCCTCACACCGCGGCGTCTTTTGTTCATCACATCTGCGGGCGTACTTTTCTGGTTCTTGTTCTTTAGCTTGACCCCAATTACCTCGCCGCTTCCGCCTTATACCGGACCCCATGAGGTTGGCATACTGGATGTTGAGACAGAGGTCCAAAAGAGAACCATCCATGATGCGATACTGAAGGCGACTGGGGAGAAGGCTTTCCAACTGGATACGTTGGCCATCACCTTATACTACCCATCCTCTCTGCCTCTGGCGCCGCCTAGCCAGCGACCATGGGCACGACCGTGGCTGCCTCAACCTGTCTCGCTTATTGGCGAAGGCTATGCTCGCCTTGCCGGAGTGTCGAAATTATCTTCGGTCTTCACCTTCGGCCTCTGGCTCCTTGGTTCAAGCACAGTCATTCCAGGTGTCGTTGATGCACCAATCCTTTCCAGTGCTGAGCAAATTTTGGGCGAAGATGGTAGTGGTGCAGGCGAATTTGGAAAGATCATGAGCGCAGCAGAGCAAGAACACAAAGAGTTAAAACGAGGCGACGGTCTTGGAAGTTTGCCCTGCGTTGTCTTTACGCATGGCATGGCAGGAATGAGTCAGAGTTATGCACACTACCTGGGAAGCATCGCAAGCCACGGCTACGTGGTCGCTGCCGTCGAACACCGTGACGGTAGCGGACCCGGTACCATCGTCCACCATCCTGATGGTACGGAGCGAAAAGTCTGGCACATGAAGCTTAAGGACCTAGAAGCCGATCCGCCGATGACCGACCTCGACCTCAAGGCCGCACAGCTCAACTTCCGCGAAGCTGAGATCAGCGAAACCATCAAACTCTTTGCACAACTCAATGCAGGTGACGCACCGGTCGTGAACCTCAAGCCCGACTCACCACGGAATGCTTTGCCTGGTTTCAAGAACCGCCTCAACCTGTCAGCAGTCACAGTCGGAGGTCACTCATACGGCGCGACGGGGGCTATGCAAGCACTGAAATCTGCTGGCTCAAAGGCAATGCCTATCAATGGTGGTATTGCCCTAGACCCCGGCAAGGGATCTGGACCCCTGAACAAGGATATCGACGTACCGATACTGGTCATGCAGAGCGGAGAATGGACAGAAAAGCAGACGGCTTTCTACGACGAAGGATGGCACTTTGAGGCCGTGAAGAATATCATCGATAACGTTAAGGAGGGGTGGTTCATGACCTTGTTGGGTACCGCTCACCCGTCTTGTACCGATGCGCCTCTTATCGTTCCTTGGATCATGAAGATGGTCACCGGTACGACGCTAGGTAGCAAGGTTGCTCTCAAGGAGTACATCGATGCTTCGGTCGCCTTCTTAGAATACCTGCGGACAGGCGAGAAGAAGGGGGTTTTGGAGAGTGGTGTCACGAACGCTGAAGGGCCTTTCTTACATGACAAACCACATGGTAAAGTCCAGGGCCCAGACGGCGCTGACTGGGAGGTCCACACCGTTCCGAAATCGGAATAGGTTGCGCATCCTTTTGTAACACTATAATACTACAGCAAGTAAAAGTGCTTTATCCACCTCTTTGTGCGTGACCGAGCCTTAAGCTGATCCACTCCGTCTCCATGGTAGGTCGCCTACACCAACGACC